TCCGTTAAATCTCTTTCGACTTTAGTCGGGTCAACTTAATAGGTTTTTTGATTTGCAAATGAAAATTACATCTCTTATATCAAGAAATGTAAGGTGGTTCCGCCACTGAGTTCCAATCGCACATATAGTGGACAGAGTGCTAGGCAGGTTCGGTCAGGATGATAATCAAATGTGCAATTACTTAAAATTGCGACGCTTCACTCAGCCTTTTGGACTAAATCTGCTGCAGCTTTTTATGAATATATATAACAGTAACTATACTTGAAGAATACTTCTGTTCCTATCCAAACCACTAAGCTGACATGCGTAAACTTGTACTTCATTAACTATCATAGAATTTTCACATCATAATGTGTCAGCATATTCATCTGTCTATAAATGGACGCTCAGAGCTAGTAAATCTGACTTATGATGCAGTATTGAATAAATGACTTAGCAGACTACAACAACGACCCAGTAAAATCCCACAAGGTGAGCAGCCCAAATTGTGATTCAATATTTGAATAATAGATGAAGCCGTAAACTTCTAGTTATTCAAAGGTGATGGTTTCCATTTATTTTGTCGAAGTGATATGTTTATTTATAAAGCTGCTTCACTTGGTAAAACAAAGACACATTCCTTCACATCAACATTTTCAGCTTATATCATCTACACAATGACCAAAGAACAAGCTGAAACATGGTGTCTTAGTCAAGCATTTTCAGGTATGCTGACCACATTTTTCCCTTTAGAACAACAGTGTCCCAAGGATAATTCTATGACTGTCTAAGAACAAATTCAGTGCACAATACATTTATTACGCGTATAGATTTAAGAGATAGCTATGCTTACCTGAACAGCCATGACAAGTTCTTGAATTTGGAAAGTGGCAAAAGCATACATGAGTTCTACAGCATAATTAATGGCAGGGCGGCAAGCATCATGAGTACAAGTGATATCAACGCAAGTTGAAACTTCCGGAGGAGGAGGCTTAAGCTTTCCAGTAAACAAATAATTTAAGAAGACCATAAATGCTTCATAACCAATTGAGCCACCAGGCAACAAATCCTTCAGTAAATACTTAGGTTTTCCTTCTTTCACAGAATTCTCATTGTCCTTAAATTTTTTATGGAAAAACTGACTTCGTGCAGCAAGAATACAGCGATTAACAACGACAGTGTTTCCGTCAACAACTATCTCTGCATCACTATAGTCATATTCAGCATCAAGCACGAGTTTTTCGAGACTACCACTTAGCTTACTCAAGCTCAGCAGATCAAGACATGTCCCTGGTTCGTCGTGGCTATAGTCCCCGTCTGATTCATAAGAGGATGAAGCAAAACTCCAAGATGATGAAAGTTCACTGCCATTGTCCATAATTCCAACTTTATTCTTTCTTGTTATCCAAAATAGCAAGAATCCCTAAGAAAACAAGAATATCATCTTAGACTAATAAACCTCAAACATTATGGAAGTTCAATCTTGTGTCCTTGAACATAAAAGAGTTATTTGATCAATATCCAAATAACTATTTAACCGAAACAACAAAACATGTTAACGGTAACTTTCAAGATTCTTCAGCTAACTGACAGTTAAATCCTTAAATTAGTCCAAAAGAAGGCATGAACTTGCCAAAGTAAGTAGCCCCTCAAAGGTTTGGTGCAGTTACTTTACTCGGGATAGAAATATATCAGTCTATTCTTCAACTAACTGACAGTTAATAAGAGAAAGGGAAACAAGACTAAAGTTTTAGTGAGAGTAAGATCTAGGCAAAGAAAAATGCTCAAATAACTTGAACTCTAAGGAGTCGTTTGGTTGGAATATGATTTACACCGGTATAAGTTATGCCGGTATAAGTTATATTGCGATAAGTTATGCTGGGATTGTTGTTTATTCATTGTTTGGTATGTTGTATTAAGAATGACAATTGCATAATTTCTAAGAAGAAGGTATAAGTTATACCGGTGCTAATTACCCCACCTTCTATAAGGTATAAGTTATCCCAGTGTTAAAATTAACACCGGAATAACGTATACCTGATTTGCTAACCAAACAGAGTATTAAGGTGGTATTAAATTTTTATACCACCCTTATACCTTCTTACACACTCATACCAAACGACCCCTAATAGTACTATTATTACTATACTCAGATACCTGGAAAGGGGGCACCTCTCTTCACAAGAATACCAAGAAACAATGTTTGGGGTGTCCGACTTCACAAACATGCAAATACTTCGACTAAAAGCATCAAGACCTTCAAAATGTTTGGCAAATAGCTAAAGTCAACTAGTCCATTTTACCTGATCTTGGAAAAACCAAAAAAGAACAAGTGGCTCAGATCATAAGGATAACGAATTTGCCGACAATTTCACAAATCAAGAAAAGAGAATCTCTTGAGCTTTCTCTCTAAAAAGCAGCTCTACGGTTGTAGAGTAATAATTAAACTGAAATAGGAGATGACAAAGATACCGAATAAGGCAAAAAGGAGTTTTGAAAGGAGTAGTAATTATTGGCACTAGTATACTAAACTTGTGAATAATGTACGGATATTAGCTCCTAACCACTTGATTTTGTACTTGGACACTTAAGTGTTAAGACTTGGAGCGCTTGTTGTGCGTAATGGTTACGAACGTCACTTACCCGCCAACGTTAGGCTGATACATTTGGCGGCTACGGCATTGCTTTTTCAATTTGACTCTACCAACGGTAGTCACTTCAGCTGGTTATCTCGACAAAGTTTTATGTTATTACAACAACAACAACAACAACAACAACCTCTCACTAGCGGGATCTGCGGAGGACCGTGTGTACGCAGACCTTATTCCTACCGGGGTAGAAAGGCTGTTTCCAATAGACCCTCAGCTCAGGAAAATGAAAAGAGACAATATATTAGTTGTTGGGATATACTATTAACCATGCGGTTTAGACATAGTATTATATTTTGTTCTTTATGAAACAGTTGTTTAATTAATTTATTCAATTCAATAAAGCAATATTTTAAATAGATCATTTGTAACATGTGTGTCCTTTTGATTATGTAGTAGACAATTTAGTGTATGGAGTCTTAGCTCATACACAGAAGATTAAATTGTTGGTTCTCATAATTAATAAACTATGTTGACAATCAAAGATATTATCGGACAAAATATCTTGATGATTGTAGCACAAGATTATTGTATAATTTGTCTTGATTATGGGAGTAAGTTTACTCCAGCTTCTTGTGCTAGTATACTCAGTGTATATTGAACGGACCAAGTAGAGAAAAGGTGTTTTTGTACTGAATACATAAAAAATATTTTCTCTAATTCATTAAATGAGCTTATACTCCTAATCTTGATATAATTGTTATGATCGATGTAATTTGTTTATTGTTTTGATTTATCAAAAGGTACGACTCTATTTAGAGTTAGTATATGCCTAATATATTGGACAATAACAAATAACATTTGTGAATAATGATTAGTTGATAGAATCCATGACTTGGTTTTGGGTTTGATGATACCCCTTTATATAAGCTTATAAGTTTTCATGTGAAAACCCGGCCGGTGGATTTTGTATCCGTCACATGAGATGGTTTAAGTAGAATTATAAAGGATTTAATTAGTTAATTCAATTAAATTTTCAGTGATTAATTTAATTAACTGGTATTTGAAATCTTAACATGGGGAGTTAAAATAAGTGTTAATGAATATTCGAAATTCATATTGAGGAGTTCAATTGCAAATTTTTAGTGGAATAAATTGCAATTAATTATAGTAAGAATTAATTCATGCTAATTTAGAATTAATACTATAATTAGTAACCTCTTATTATTTTTGCGGTCCCTACTATACCTAGTAAAAACCTGGACAGACTTGGGTAAAAAGTAGCTTGGGAGAAAAGGTACTCTTTTGAGTTAGAGTAGGATTCTACTTATGAAATCCTAGTCTTACACGATTTTAAGCCTATTTTAGGGCTTAAAATTCGTGTATTTAATAAGGAAAAAGAGAGACAGGTTTCTTCCGTGTGACTAACCCTAGAGTTGTATTGTTCTTGCCCACCCAAAAGCAAAAGTGTTCAAGGTTTTACTAGGCATATAGCAGAAGACTACAGCCCTGGATTCTTGCTGCTTGGAGAATTTGTGCAACTATTTCAAGAGGTTAGTGTTCCTGATCTCGTTATTATTGCGTTGTCTAGTTTACATGTAATTGATGCCTCATTGTATGCTTGCTTCCGCTGCGCATGTTCTAACAATTGGTATCAGACGCCGTCTTACATCTAACTAGATAATGTAATACAGCATACATAGAAAAAAAAAATTAAAACGTGTTATTCATTGATACATGTTTCGGATAATTATTCTATATTAAAAACATGAATGTTTTGTATGATATTCTGTAATTTTGGATTAATATACAGAATTTTTGGATTAATCCTGTCAAAACACATTTTTTGAAAATCACGTCTTGTATCGCCGCGGTCCGGGCGTAACCGCGGTAGGACCGCGGCAGAACACTGCCTCTGATTCTGAAGGTCACTCTAGCCGCGGTAGGACCGCGGCAGTACATGCAACCTTCAGAGCCAAAAATTGCAAAACACGCGATTTTAGGTCCTAAACCCTAAATTAAACGGGTTTTACAGTAATAATAATGAATTTATATGTTGACATAGGTCTTCTTCCATATCGGATAAATTCATTATAGATGATTACTGTATTCTTCTTTAGCCTCTAGTTATTTCATTACTTGTATTAACTCTCCAACTGAGTTACATGTTGATTGAATGAAACTAGAGTTTTATAAAAAGTGATATTTACCTATCTTAAATTAACAGTTTACTCTCCATCTGAGTTGGTCCTGTTTAAATTTTTGGGGTTAATATCTGACATCACTCATGCATTTTGCATGAATAGTTAAGTTTCCCTAACGAATCTAACTGTTCATTGAGCATGGTTATATGTGTAATGTGTAATTTTGAATTTAATCATTCTTAATACATAACTAATGATCTATTTAATGTGAATATCTCCCAGATTAACCATGTCTCCATTCAACCCACTTACCTCAATTTTGAACCAAAACAAGCTAGAAGGACCAAATTATGTTGACTGGATAAGGAACCTTGATATTGTCCTAACTGCTGAAGGTTACAAATTTGTAATCTCTGAGGAGTGCCCAGAAAAAACTGAAAATGCTACGGATGATCATGTCAAGGCCTATGACAAATGGGTTAAGGCTGATGAGATAGCGCGATGTTACATTCTTGCCTCTATGGCAAATGTTTTGCAACATCAGCATCAGTCCATGGGGTCTGCTTATGATATGCTCGAAAGTCTCAAAGAGATGTTCGGTGAGCAAAATCGCGCAGCTAAGCAGACAGCCATGAAAGCCCTTTTGAACACGAAAATGGCTGAAGGATCATCGGTCAGGGACTATGTTCTGAAGATGATGAGTCTTCTGAATGAACTGGAGGTCCTTGGAGCTGTGATTGATAAGGAGTCTCAAGTTGAGATGGTCCTGCAGACTCTTGCCCGACAGTTTTCAACAGTTTTGCTTGAACTATAATATGAACAAAATGGATTTGTCACTAGCGAAATTGTTGAATGAGCTGCAAGCGGCAGAATCTATTATCAAACAACAAGCTCCAGTTGTGGCACTAAATGTTAAGAAACCTTCAATTTCTAAGTCGAAAGGCAATAAGAAAAAGAAGCTCAAAAGGTTCTAGCACCTGGTAGTGCGGCTGGTGTGAACAAGCCCAAAGGCAAGTGCTATCATTGCAAGCAACCCGGGCATCACAAGAAGCAATGCCCCGCCTATCTGGCAAAGTTGAATAAGCAAGGTAATTCAAATTTAAATGTCGTTGAAACTTTTTTAGCGGCTGTTTCTACCATGTTTTGGTGTGTAGATTCGGGAGCCACTAATCACATCTGCAATTCTTTGCAGATTCAGGAAACGCGGCGGCTAAGTGAGAATGAAGTTTGCATTTATCAAGCCAATGGCGAGCCAGCACCAGCTTTAGCTTTAGGAGATATTAGTGTTTCGTTTAGTAGTGATAGAGTTTTAGTTTTAAAAGATGTTCTCTATGTACCTTCCATTAGAAGGAATTTGATTTCGGTTTCGAAAATAATGGATGCTGGTTATAATGTTTATTTTGCTAATAACTCTACTGTTCTTAAGTTTCATAGACGTTTTATCTACAAAGTTGCTAGAGTACATGACCTTTTTGTTCTTGATATATCTCCCCCTGTGCTACAACAACCAAAAGAACTAAATAACATTAATCTACCACATAAAAGAAAACGTATTTCTGAATTGAGTCAGACTTATTTATGGCACTTACGTCTAGGCCATATAAATCTAAATAGGATTTTGAGATTGGTCTCTGATGGACCTTTGAGTTCATTGAAAGTGGAATCACTACCAACATGCGAATCCTGTTTAGAAGGTAAAATGACCAAGAGACATTTTCCCTCAAAAGGGAATAGAGCCAGTGATAAGCTAGAATTAATTCACTCTAATTTGTGTGGTCCTATGATATACAAGCAAGAGGTGGTTTTGAGTATTTTGTGACTTTCACGGATGATTACTCAAAATATGGATATATTTATCTGTTGCGCCGTAAGTCTGAATGCTTTGAGAAATTCAAAGAATTTAAGACGAAAACAGAGAAACGACATGATAAATATATCAAAACATTACGATCTGATCGTGGTGGTGAATACCTTTCTGCGGAATTCATAAAATACTTATCAGATAATGGAATTACATCTCAATTATCTGCACCAGGAACACCACAACAAAATGGTGCGGCAGAAAGAAGAAATATGACTCTTATGGGATGGGTTAGATCAATGTTAAGTTATTCCGATTTGTCTCTTTCCTTTTGGGGATATGCTTTAGAAACAGCAAACTACATTCTAAATTTGGTTCCTTCAAAGTCAGTATCTCAACTCCAATAGAATTGTGGACTAGGCGAAAGCCAAGTTTACGACACATTCGGGTTTGGGGTTGTCCAGCACATGTGCTGAAAGGGAAAGCGGATAAATTAGAATCAAGGACAGAAGTATGCATTTTTATTGGATATCCAAAAGGAACAAAAGGCGGTTTGTTTTATTGTCCCAAAGAAAAGAAGGTAATTATTACGACAAATGCCAGATTTTTAGAGGAGGACTATCTAATGAACCATATTCCTAGAGGTAAACTAGTTTTATAGGAATTAAATAATGGAATAACTAACGACTCAACTCTTGAACGTATCCCGGAAGCCACCATTGACATACCACTGCATTATCGTAGTGGGAGAAATGTCAGTAGGCATCAGATTGCACAAGAACAATTGCCTGATATCTCACTACCCCAAAGTAGTGGAAATAATGTTGAGCAACCTCAGATTGTTGAGCAACCTCACGTTGTTGAACAACCTGAAATTGTTATGCAACCTGAAGAATTCGAAAGCCTCTCTCACCGCGGTCCTGGCGTAACCGCGGTAGGACCGCGGCAGAACAATGCCCCTGATTCTGCAGGGCCTTCTGACCGCGGTCCTGGCGCAACCGCAGTAGGACCGCGGCAGAACAATGCCACTGATTCTGAGAGGCAATCTGGGAGGGATCCTGCACTACAGGAAGAAGTCAATGATATCCTAGCACCACCTGCTGTGGAAAATAACATTGAGACTTCAGTTCAAGGAAGTGGTGAAGTGATTCAACAACAAAATCAGCCTCCACCTGTAGTGACTAGTCGTAGTGGGAGAATTATTAAAAAACCTCTCCGATTTGCGCTCTTGGGAGAATCTTATGATAGAATCCCTGAAGAGCCTAATATAGAACCAATTAATTACGACGAAGCACTACATGATACAGATGCTGATGAATGGGTTGATGCTATGAAATCTGAAATGGAGTCCACGTACTCAAATCAAGTCTGGGATCTTGTAGAACCACCTACTGGAGTCAAACCCATAGGTTGTAGATGGATCTATAAGAAAAAGAGAGGAATGGATGGAAAAGTGCAAACTATTAAAGCTAGGCTTGTCGCAAAAGGGTTTACTCAAAAAAAGGCAACGATTATGAGGAAACCTTTTCGCCAGTAGCCATGCTTAAATCCATAAGGATTCTCTTATCCATTGCGGCTCATTACGATTATGAGATCTAGCAAATGGATGTCAAGACCGATTTTCTAAATGGAAGTCTTGATGAGTGCATCTATATGGCACAACCAGTTGGTTTCATAAAAAGTGGAAATGAGCACATGTTATGTAAATTAAAGAAATCCATTTATGGATTGAAACAAGCTTCTAGGGCATGGAACACTTGTTTTGACGCATCGATTAAGACATTCGGTTTTGACCAATGTGAAAATGAGTCTTGTGTCTATAAGAAGTGGAATGGAGATAAAGTTACATTTTTGGTCTTGTACGTAGATGATATTTTGCTCATAGGAAACAATGTGAGCATGTTGAATTCAGTAAAGGAATGGTTGTCCTCACGTTTCGATATGAAAGACTTGGGACATGCAGCACATATCCTTGGGATCAAGCTTATGCGAGATCGAAAGGAAAGGATAATAGGCTTGTCCCAAGCACTTTATATTGATACCATTCTCACCAGGTTTAGCATGCAAGATTCCAAGAAAGGGTTTCTCCCCTTTAGACATGGAATCTCTCTGTCAAGAGATCAGTCCCCAAAAACGACTGATGAGATAGAAAAGATGAAGGCGGTCCCTTATGCTTCTGCTGTAGGGAGTCTTATGTGTGCAATGCTATGTACTAGACCTGATATTTGCTTTGCCGTTGGCATGGTTAGCAGATTTCAGTCTAACCCTGGTCGAGAACACTGGACTGCTATTAAGCATATAATCAAGTACCTGAAAAGGACTAGGGATTATATGTTGGTGTATCACTCAGGTGATCTTGCACCCATTGGCTATACTGATTCAGGTTTCCAGTCAGATAGAGACTCTAGAAAATCTACCTCAGGATATATTTTTACTTTGGGAGGTGGAGCCATAAGTTGGAGGAGCATCAAGCAATCGTGTGTTGCTGATTCCACCATGGAAGTCGAATATGTGGCTGCATTTGAAGCAGCCAAAGAGGCTGTTTGGCTCAGGAACTTTCTGAAAGAGCTTAATGTGGTTCCTTCGGTTCAAGCACCAATTGTACTTTATTGTGATAATAGTGGTGCAGTTGCAAACTCGAAGGAACCAAGAAGCCATAAAAGAAGTAAGCATATTGAGCGTAAATATCACTTAATTCGGGACATAACACAAAGAGGTGATGCAAGAGTGTTGAAGATTGTGTCGGAGGATAATTTGGCAGACCCGTTTACAAAGAGCTTGACACAGAAGATTTTTGACAAGCATGTAGAAGGAATGGGTGTTAAAATATTAGACGCATGGTTATGAGTCTAAGTGGGAGATTGTTGGGATATACTATTAACCATGCGGTTTAGACATAGTATTATGTTTTGTTCTTTATGAAACATTTGTTTATTTAATTTATTCAATTCAATAAAGCACTATTTTAAATAGATCATTTGTAACATGTGTGTCCTTTTGATTATGTAGTAGACAATTTAGTGTATGGAGTCTTAGCTCATACACAGAAGATTAAATTGTTGGTTCTCATAATTAATAAACTATGTTCACAATCGAAGATATTATCGGACAAAATATCTTGATGATTGTAGCACAAGATTATTGTATAATTTGTCTTGATTATGGGAGTAAGTCTACTCCAACTTCTTGTGCTAGTATACTCAGTGTATATTGAACGGACCAAGTAGAGAAAATGTGTTTTTGTACTGAATACATATAAAACACTTTCTCTAATTCATTAAATGAGCTTATACTCCTAATCTTGATATAATTATTATGATCAATGTAATTTGTTTATTGTTTTGATTTATCAAAAGGTACGACTCTATTTAGAGTTAGTATATGCCTAATAAATTGGACAATAACAAATAACATTTGTGAATAATAATTAGTTGATAGAATCCATGACTTGGTTTTGGGTTTGATGATACCCCTTTATATAAGCTTATAAGTTTTCATGTGAAAACCCGGCCGGTGGATTTTGTATCCGTCACATGAGATGGTTTAAGCGGAATTATAAAGGATTTAATTAGTTAATTGAATTAAATTTTCAGTGATTTAATTTAATTAACTGGTATTTGAAATCTTAACATGGGGAGTTAAAATAAGTGTTAATGAATATTCGAAATTCATATTGAGGAGTTCAATTGCAGTTTTTTTGTGGAATAAATTACAATTAATTATAGTAAGAATTAATTCATGCTAATTTAGAATTAATACTATAATTAGTAGCCTCTTATTATTTCTGTGGTCCCTGCTATACCTAGTAAAAACTTGGACAGACTTGGGTAAAAAGTAGCTTGGGAGAAAAGTTACTCTTTTGAGTCAGAGTAGGATTCTACTTATGGAATCCTAGTCTTACACGATTTTAAGCCTATTTTAGGGCTTAAAATTCGTGTATTTAATAAGGAAAAAGAGAGACAGGTTTCTTCCGTGTGACTAACCCTAGAGTTGTATTGTTCTTGCCCACCCAA